GAAGCGTTTCTATGCAGGAAATCGAATTTCGGATCTTTGTCGGAATTAGGGAAGGGAGGTGGGAGGGTGCTGGTAAAATGGAGTCGGCTGGCCGGAAGGGTGCATGGGACAAGGTCGACGGGGTGCGTCCCTCAGGCGCAGTCGTAAGGGGGCAGTAAGGGACGGCTTTAATTAAGGCAAGTGGAGGAAAGAAAAATCCTGAGGGAATTTATAGAGGTCCGCAAAGCTGGAGGGTTGCGCAAGGGTGGCCCTAAACTCTAAGGGTCGGCCCGGTAATTCGGAACTCTCGAAACGACACCGGCTCTCCATAAAGGCCTAAATGCAAAGTAGGCTTTGCCGTTCCTCGTCCTTACCTCGCAAAGGGATGAACATACGTCCGTATGTTCCCCAGGACTCGGGATCGCGGATTAAACCCCGAAGAAATTTAAGGAGGGCCCCCCCAGTTTTGACTGAAATTCACTCGGCGTTTAATCAGGATTTAATCACCCCTTCGACGCCGAGAGCTTAATCCGCGAGCGCCATCTTCCCGTTAAAGCTGCAGGCCGCCATGTTTGAACTCATCATTATTCGAAGCACTAATAGAGCTCCCGGGGGAAGGGGTAAAGTTCGTCAGTCTCCTCGCATAAATAGAAATCCCTTCGAAGAATGGACCCGGAGGGTAGCGAGCCCCGGAAAAGAGGGATGAAACGGAAAAAGAAACGAAAAGCCCCATGGCCGACCGCACCGAGTACGGGTTGTCGCGGTAAAAAAAAAAACAAAAAGAGCAGAAGAAAATAAATAGAACGAAAGGAAAATATTTGAAACGGTTCGCGAGACCTCGAAAACCTCCACGTGGCGATTCTCTCTCGAAAGTCGAAAGTTGCACCTCTCGGTACGCGAAGTACGAGATACGTACGTTATACATTTTTTCTACATACGTTCCACGTGGTGGCCATTTTCCAGGAAACCTATGCAAACGCATAATCTACTGCGAGCTCAATAATTACGCATTCGTTCTCGATAACGCCTCTTGGAACGATTCTTGATCCGTGGACGATAAATCGGCTCCAAAACAGATTTTTCACTACGTAAGAAATGATCGATCGTGTTTACTAGATCCTATCGCCGCAAGATTCTTGCAGTCACCGGTGCATTATCCGTTTATTATCGCTCAATCGATCGCGATTCTAATCAGCATTGCAGGTGACACTTTGCATACCCGAATTTACCAGATTGACCGATAGCGAGTACCGAGGTGTGCGAGTACAACGATTACCCTCTTAAAATACGAGGGAAAAAAAGATTAATCTCGAACATAATAAATCTTCGATTTAATGGAATTTTCTTTACTCCTCCCGACATTTCTTTTCGACGTACTCGATCGCAGGATCTCGTTGCTGTATATTTCTTTGAGTCAATTGACATTGTCTTTTTTTTTTGCATAAAGGTAAACACGGAAGCAACCTATGCAATCGATCTACACATCGCACACATATATATGCTTCTTTCCGAGCGATCGGATCAGCGCTACGTCTGAGACGAGTAGATCGATCTAGATCTCGAAATTAGTTTGGATCTCGAGATAAGCTATTGGCCGGACGTAATATCGAGGCAGGTGCGCAAATACCGAAGTTAATCTACGAAAGGCACGCGTGGGTGATATCGGCACGCGCATTCCTAATCTATACGCCGATCCGTCGCGCGGCCCCGAATTTCCGCACGGAATCTACGCCATTGAGCGCGGCTAAAAGAGCGGGCCAAAAATCGCTGTATCATTCATTTACCGGCAAGGCGTGAACTGGTCGATTCGCGGGGGCGTTAATCAAACGACTTTCGCTTTCGTTTAATTTTCATTCATTAATTCGGCTCCGCATGGGAAATCCACGCAGCGGCGCGAACGGCGCAACGCCAAAGCCAGGCCAAGGTGGTCTCGATCGGCCCGATATCGATTATCGATTGGATCTAGAAAAGAAGGTTCCCTCGCGTCATCTCGGAATATTCGAGATATCGCTCACGCGTGCGCAAAGACGTAGACGTGCGGTCTAAGTGCGGAAGCGCATTCGAGGATGCAACCCTGCGATCGAGCTCGCTCGATCGATCGATCGATCCTTCCGGAGGTATCTCGCATATCTTTTCGTTTTTTCCAGGGTTCCTTTTTCCGCTTCCTTTCCTGGATTTTTCCTTCCCAGGACCACGTGGCCTGTCCGCGTATCCGCGACGCCGGCTTAATGGACTCGCGGAGTGGCCCCGATGGACGTTCCGTGTTGTCAGGGGTGCGGAGGAGGTGCGGCCGAACGTTTTCCAGCTTTTCCGAGTGGAGGTCGCCCCCCCTCGGCTGCCCCTTTCCCCAATTCCCGAGGATTCGCGATTTCTGCAATTTTTCTCGCGGGCCAAATTCGACGGATCGATCGATCGATCCCTGCCGATCAGTCCCTGGGGATGCCGTCTCCCCGCTGCGGAATTCCCAAGGCCGCCGAAATCCCGCGAATCGACGGATTCTCTTCTTCCTCCCTCCCCCTCTCTCTTGGGATTTCCGCGAGTCTCTCGATTTCCCGGCGACCTCCGGCGAAATTGGTCCAGGACAATGCGCAGCTTCCTCGATTCCGCGCCCCCTCCGGCGGCGATCGGTCCGCGCGCGGCCCGCACGCGGACCGCGCCCGCTCGCCTGGCCCTGACACTCAGAAGCACCATCAGTTATAGAGATTGCCGACTACACCCCCGCCCTCGCGGCGTACAGGGTCGGGGTGGTTTTTTAAATCTAGCCATCAAGGATCCATCCCGCCCTGGCTGAATGCCCGAGCCACGCGAAAGCGATCCGCACGCGGGGGCGGTATTTGTCGCGGCTCCATTATCCTCGCCCGAATTCAATTACAGATAGGTGGAATCACTTTTGCGACACCCCGGATGCGTCACTTATCGACGGGGGACGACCGGAGAGGAGAGCTTCTGGGACCGGCACGGAAAATTGGGAAATCCACCCAGGTTGAGAAATCCCCGACTTCGAGACGCCGCGACGTAGCCACTGACGGTCTTCGGATATCTTCATAAAGAGGCTTTATAAAGAGACTTAGTCACCGAGAATGTTGCAATTCTTAGGAACACCGCGACACGTATATGAAACTCGTGTAACTTGTCGCAATTTCAAAGAAACGTAGCATCTAATAAGATCATTATCCTCTCTATTACCGAAATGTGTGGTATCATTTATTTCTCCCTTTGAAGTGTCCGAAATAAATCCAGAGTGTCCGGAATATCGAAAACATTTCAAATTCTATAGTTTTGTCGGGGATACATTGGCGCGATCGAAATATCAACCCTTTCGCTCTTGGGTGGAGAAATATTAACGGGGAGCCGAAACGTCCCTTCCGATTCCGACGGGGGGGAGCCTGCCGTCGCAGGCGCGGTTCCGCGGCGGTAATTCCCGAAAAACGCGGAAAACGCGTGGGGAACGAGTGCGGCCGCTCGAGCTTGCCGAGGGTCGATGACTTCGGAATCATTTTTCAAAATGTCTACCGCCTCCGGGGGGGTGGTCAACCCCCAAGCGTAGGGTGGCAAGATGGCGGCGGTAAATCGATGGAGGCTAGTCAGTGCAGTCGCCCCTCTCCGCACCCCCAAACTCGGCCCGGCGCCCTACCCTCATTTTCGAGCTTCACGCAAGCGCCCGCACCCTCCGCTCGCGGTCTTAGCCACCTGCGTGATTTCCGCGCGGCCTCGAGGTGTGCCGTGACATTTTTCTCCCCCGCCCTGGGATAAAAAGAAAAGGGGGGAAAAAAAGACAAAGAAAATGCGAAAAAGTCCGACAACTTGCGGGGGAGAGAAAAAAAAAAGAAATGACACGGGAAAAAAACGGAGGGGAAAAAAAATAAAAAGGATAAAAAGGAGGGCGAAGAAGAGGGAAGAAAGAAAGGAAGATCCTCCGAGGACGCCGAAAGAATCCGCGAGCGGAGCGGCAACAAGTGCGTGACGTTACCGTGACCGGGATCGATCCGCAGATTTGATTTGCATTTTTTTACTCCTTATCCGAGTGCGCCCGATAAAGCCCACGGTCCGCTGCGAATCTAATTCCGATTGACATCGGCGCCCTATCTGCCCGTTTTTTGCCGCCTAAAATGCCCGGCTCCGCCTAGCTCGCGTTCCGGCCGCGTTTAAACGCCCTCCAGGATCTGCGGAATCGAACCGCACCCTGTCGCTTCTGGGATTTTTACACAGGGCATGAGCATCCTTTAGATATGCCGAGAAGGGTGGATTTTTATTCCTCACGTTTTTGGGCAAGCGATAAAATGTGGAGGCGAATTGCATTGTCTTTGATAAGGGATGATAGAACGGACGCTGCAACGGAACGGAACGTTTTGCTTCGTTTAGTCAAAGAAGGCAAATGGGATAAATGCGTTGCTATGTAAATATTTATTAACCGGTAAAAATTGATAAGCCGTTGAAATCTTCCCTTCTCGCATCTCAATAATCGAGGTGATAAGATTGCGGATATTTCTCGCGGGTACGTGTAATGACGATCTTATCGAACGCATTCGTTTCCTTTTGTATGCGAGATAATTGACGAATGTGTGAGGAATGTTCTTGAAATGCGAACATCATTCGGATAGTACAGGATAAAAAGGAACAATTTTTCTGGATAACGTATAAACAATTTGCCTCCAATTTACCAGATCCCACTAAATCTCTAAACGTTTTGAAATGTAGATCGCAATTGCTACAATGTCCGGATTCTCCATGAATTGCCAATTGTCATTCCCCCGCCTGGAAATATGCAGGCGATATCGTCGATCAGTTGCCGATTTCTCGAGAACAATCAATAAAAAAAAAAGGAAAGGCTCCCGATTATAATCTCGATTTGGCAATTGCAATCAATCAAGTACTTTCGATCTGCATGCCATTGGTAACCGAGAGCCAATAGATGTTCAGAAAGACAAGGATTCTATCTTATCGACCAATCATTGTTACGATGACAGTTAGATGCTTTAAAAGCGGGCCATTCTTGCCAAAATGTCAGTCTACCAATAAACATGAAGGTCCTCGTACTGGCTGGTTTCCTGCTTTTTATTGTTGCCCTCGGTAATTTTTTTCCAACACAAAAGTGCATTCAAAATGCATTTCCTAATTAACTCAACTCGATAACACAATTTTCCTCCGGGAAATCATTATCCAAAGAGATAATATAATCTCCTAAGTACGCGGCAAAACCTTGAAAGGGTCGATTCATGAAAAAAAAAAAAAAATTATAATTCGTAGCAGAATAACGAGAAATTAATAAATCGTTACGATTTCAGCTCATCCCGCGGCGATCGACTCCGCCAAGGGAAACGAAGAGGACAAGATCGAAAACGACATTGAAGGATTCGACGACGACTTCTACGACGACTTCGACGACGAAGTCGAGATATCCGTCGGGTCCAACACTGATGGACTGTGGTTCCTGGACGACGATGGAAACCCAGTGGAAGCCAGCCTCGACGACGACCACGAAGACGAGACTCCGGACCAGACCGAACGAGACCTGGCCACCAGGGTGATCTTCTACATGTACGCAAAAGGAAACACCAGAGATCCCCACAAACTCTACATCGGAGATAAAGAGGCCCTGAGGAAGAGCAACTTCGATCCGAGCAAGCCAACCCGGTTCATCACCCACGGATGGATGAACTCCAGGAGAAGCGAGGCGTGTACTCTAGTCCGTGACGGTAACTATCTTGGGACATACAGAATCCCCTCGAAAGAAGGCCACGTTCCCTGACACCATCTCCTTGCAGCCTACCTGACGAACGGGCACTACAACGTGATCGTGGTGGACTGGAGCAGAATTACGATCAGGCCCTACGTCTTCGCCAGCAGGCGAGTCAAGATGGTCGGCATCTTCGTCTCGAAGATGATCGACTTCCTCGAGAGAAACGGAATGGATCCGTCCACGACCACCCTGGTTGGGCATTCGCTAGGAGCCCACGTAATGGGTCTGGCTGGACACTACGCCAAGAGCAGAGTCGACTACGTAGTCGGTAAGACATCCAAAGTGAGCGCAATTGGGCGCATCGATTGCGCAAATATGAGGGATCCTCGCGAAGACAAAGGAACCGTTCTCCGCAGGTTTGGACCCAGCCCTTCCTCTCTTCACCTTCGCTGGTCCAGGGTCTCGGATATCCAAGGGAGACGCGAGATTCGTGGAGATCATCCACACCAATGCTGGACTCCTGGGGTACCTGTCTCCCATCGGAGACGTGGACTTCTACCCCAACGGAGGGTCCAAACAACGAGGATGCATCATCGACATCGGCGGTTCCTGTTCCCACTCGAGGTCCTACTGGTTCTTCGCGGAATCCATCAACTCCCACACGGGATTCTACGGCAGGGAGTGCAAGAGCTACGTGAGGTTCAAGTTGGGTCTTTGCAACCGGAAGGGCTTGGGTCTGATGGGTGGCCATCGTTGGTTACACTCCCTGAAGTCCGCCGGGACGTACTTCTTGAACACCAGGATCAAATTCCCCTACGCCGTGGGAAAATGAGTCCTTCGACCCCAGGATGACGGAATAATATGTTACTATTTCGGACACTTCTCTGGATCGGGTCTCACCCCTATTTGAAACGAAAAGATGAAACACTCGGGCTCGGTCCCCGCACGGGACGAGCTTTTGCAAGTGTTTTTCGCTTGATTTGTTGTTAATTGATCATCCGACATCAGATGATGGGAGTCGAGGGGACATGAAGTTCCGTAAAATCTCGACGGAGTCATCCCTCACTGGTCGCGCGTGATATTTTTTGATCAATACTTGATTGTTGTTAGATTGCTTCGTACGTAGCACCTTTATATTACGCATACACATAAATTGTTACAATGCATGTTGAATCGTCTGTTCTTTTTTTTTGTTCCTTGAGACCCTTTTAACAGGTTTCAAGAGGACCACTAAGAACAGCAGAATCATTTCATTCTCCAAATCCGATTCGATGCATGTCCCCGATTATCGGCTTCCGACTTCCTTACTCAAAAACAACAAATCACACTAATCAGAAGCATCGCCAGTGTTATCGGAGCCGAATGATAAATCACCCAACGAGAGTTGCGTTCTTCCCGATAATCAAAAGCGCGCGAGCATTTTCTAAGAGGAAAGATTAATTATCCCTATCGATCTCGATCTCCCTGCATGACCCTATAGGGAATCCCTAAATAATCGGGTCAAACGATAATCGGTCGAATGGAATCGATTTCCAGCGCTCCATTCTTCTCCCGCGGACTTAGAAACCGGAAACGCGTCCGCGACCGGAAGTTGCCGATCCCTTCGAGAACGTGACGTCTCTTTTTCCTGAACGGGCGACCCACTTGTACAGGAAATTAATTTCTTAACAAAGTATCGATTGTCCATTGTCCGTGGAAATGAATAACTCCAGCAGAGTTCTCGCAGGAGGCGGTGAGAAATCCCGCGAAAAGGGTGGAACTAGCGATCGGGATTTTTCACCTGTCGAATCCATCGTGGTGATCGATCCACGTCGAGTGTTCAATAAATACTTAATTAAGTCCCCGATACAGGCCCGCGACGGAGATCGGGCCTTATCTGGCCATTCGGATAGTTAAAATAAGATTCCTAGATTGGTCGGCAGAAGTGGCGCGATCCATCTCAACTTGGTTGATTAAAAAAGGTACGATAAAATAAAAAAAAAACATAAAAAATTGCGAAACTCCGACAGCTTGTCGGAAATTCCCCTCGTGTCGTTTTCGCACGCGTGTACACGTGACGGTGCGTTGTCAGTCGAGTCACGTTCAGGATGTCGATTGGTGACCGCGAGGAAAAATCTGACAGAGGATTGAAGGACGATAAGACGAGGTCGCCAAACCTCTCGTAATCGGCGTGAAAGGATACTAAAGTGAATAAAAAAAAAAATGCCTCCAGAATTTTACCCGGCTCGTTTACCGAAAAATGAACAAATGGTGCATGAAATTATGTGGGATCGGTAGAAGTCACTTTGGTGCGAAAAGTCGCATCGCGATTTTCGGTATCGACTTTTTTTGGGGGCTCGACCCACGAATCTCCAGGTGACCGTTTCGTAGCCGAGAGGAGCCAGGATTAAAATCCGTCCTCACGGTGGAGGGAGAAATGAAACTTGTAAAGTTTCCTAGTATCTATCAAGCCGCGACCGGTCCATATATCTGGGAATGGCTTCCGCGGGTCGAGGACCGGAAGAAGTATCGTCCACTCCGACCTGCAGAGCCACACCCGCCGGCTGGACAATACTTCCCCGGTCCGACTATTCCGCGCGCAATGTATTTTTCTGAGAGAATTGATGCCGAACGAGGAGTCGTCCAATTTATTTCGACTTGAGCGGCTCCGCATCTGCCGAGAGAGAAGGAGAGAGACGGAGAGAGTACGGAATATGTCGGATTGAAAATGGCATCAAAGCAAAGCGACCCGTGGAGAGAGGCGGAAAAGTTCGACGTCCTCGTTCGAGGCGTTGACTAATTTCCCAGGTTGGAACTCCCGGCCGGATAAACGATACTTAACGGACGGGAAACGTAATTTCCTCCTATTTATTCTTCCTCGGTACAACGAAAAACCGTCTCGACAACGCCAGGGGATAGAACGATAATTGCCCGCGCGGATAAGAGGGAATCGTGCGTAGTAAAGTCCTCGTCGAGGCGATTTTCCTCTTTTTCCTCCCTTTTCCGAAAAATTATAGCAATCTTTTAATATACCGATTCATCGATCTAACCGTGGGAAAGGAACGTCACTCGATATATTCGTTGAAAAGGCACGATTGCAGCCCAATTAAACGAAAACAAATAACAAAATATAGGTCGTGCCGTTAAAAAGTGACTGCAGAATTCGGCACAATGAGGATAATTATTTCGGGCTTCTATTATCTCTTCGTGCATTTAACGATCGCCAGGGAGATTAGCGTTTGGAGAAGAGAAATAACGGATAATTACGGATTCATTTAAATATTCGCATTGTCGGGAGATAAAAGGGAAGGGGTTAGCTTGAAAATTTCATCCCGGGGGAGCGGTACGTTTGAAATTTCAGTTCTAAGGGTCCGAAGAAGGGACGACGTCTCCAGGGGTGGTTTTCGAAAAGGCGTCATTTCACCTCGTAAATACGCAACCCGAGCCCCACTGGTCATCACTTAGCCTTAATTGGTTCTTATGACGGTCGTCTTAATTGATCGCATGTCTATTACCGTGTCGTGTTACCATATTTACCCGTTACCTTATGGCGGCTCGCCTCTACAGGAGTCACAGGGAATAATTTCGATCGTTAGAAACGTCTCCGAGTCGTTCGTCAATTAAATTCAAAATTCTCGTCCCTTCACTTCTAGGACAAGGGAATACAAAATCGAAGTATGGAAAATATAGAAAATACAGAAGGTACAGAAAATACTACCACTCGATTAAACGGCAATTGCGAAATTCATCCCCTACGTCGCGGCATCAACGACCGGGTTGAAAAATGATTAGCCCGGAATTCCGCGATTTCCCATTAATCTCCTTAATTTCATTGGCATTTCCACAGAAGGGAATCAAACAGAGCCTAGGGAATTCTCACGAGATACCTCGTCGGAAACTAGAACCCGCGGTCCCGGTTTTCCTAGAAATTCGAGTACAGCAAATTGGAGAATCTACTCTCGAAATGGTCGGTTTGCGATTTCGGGTGAGCGAGTAAAGTGTGTGTACCATTAGATTCCCAAGACTAACAGAGTATTATAGGTAGGTGGTTTTGTTCAATTAGAATACCGGCTAATCCGAAAGTACCCGCCCTCGATGAAATTCCTCCTTCGTCGCCTCCAATTACCAAAATATATAAGGAACCCCCTAAAAGAAAGAAGGAAATAAAAAAAAAAGAAAACCAGGCAACAGGCGTGATTCTTCCGTGTCTCCGAAACAACGACCAACCAGGAGGCGGGATATATCGCCGATAAGGAATTTCACATTTCGTTATCACCTCGTATTTAGCGTTATCGCGACCCTCCCACCTGTCAACCCGTCGCGATTCGAGCATGCAAAGTCAGACTTTTAGCTAAATTGTGGCAAAGCGAATCGTAGGGGGGGAATCCTCCCCCAAAAGGGGGTGGTTCGGAGGACCATCAGATTTTGGAGGGTAGCAATGGCGGCGGCTTTAGAGGCGACACGTACACCTCAGCAGACGGGTGCGTCGTTAATAAACCCTGAAGAAGGGCCATTAATCATCGGCTATCTGGGGCTGGGCCAGCGTGTAAATACTATGGAGATATTTACTTAAACGTGTACGCCGTATGTACCCGGGGGTACATACGTCGTCACATACGCCCCCTCCCCCCGTCCTCCTTCGTCACCTCCCCCGCCACCCTCTCGCGGTCTTTCGTGGACGAGTGAGGTGCGCCCTCCCCCTGCAGGAAAAATGAGGAGGATACGTAGGAGGAGACGGGGGATGGATATCCTTAATTCAAATATTGACCGTCCATTTATCAAGCGAAGCTACGATCCGCTCTAATTAGCTTTCTTCGCTGCTCTTTGCCACCCCGCGTCTCCACGAGGTCGCCATGTTGGACCGATCCTGGTTACCCCGTTAATCGCGTGCTTAATCCTTCCCGTCAGGATCGATCCTCGCCCGTCTTCGATTAAACGTCAAAAGTGACTTCGACGGCGCCCGGTACCGCGATATCAGAAACCTAACCTCAATCGGCCCAAAGTCGGCTCGCTCCCCCAAGGGCCCTAGTTTACATTTTCAATATAAATACCTGTCCATCGGTATCCATGCAGTCCGGGGAATTTAATCCGCATGATATTACGCGTGTACTCGTTTCGAGTACCAAACCTGTACAGCGATATATTCCGCGAGAAAAAAAAAATAGTGAGCACCCAAAGAAATATATATTGCTGCAACAATGTTCTCATTACAGGTGCAGGTTTAACGGAGGTTGAAAAAGTGCGCCGACTGGAGTCGGCAAAATGGCCGCCGGATCATCGCGAATCCACTCACCAAAATGGCGGCCGGGTCACCCCGAATCCACTCACCAACATGGCGGCACCAGGGAAAGGCGTGCACGCGATTTCGGTGGACATTTTACGAAAACCTAGGACGCACGCTGGGATCGTTATGATTCATAAGAGATGTACATTTAACCGCCGCGAAGAGCACTCCGGTTCGGTCCAGGAAACGTCGTGGATATTCTCGACAAGATGGCGGCCGCCGAAACGGGGAACCCGAACGCACTCGCGACGGGTCTAAACGCGGCCCGTAGGACTGTCCGTACGACTGGCTGGTGATGCAACATAAATTAAACTGCATAGGTTGCGTGCACCCCAATCAGCCCATGTCCCATGGTCATCGTGCAGTATTATCGGCCGCTCGGGCGGGCGGCGTGCGGCGTGCGTGTGCGTGAGCGGTGCGTGTGTAAAAATTGGAATCGCCGCCGAAGGGGTGGCGCAGCCCGATAGCGCCAGCCTGGACGCGCCAAAAATCCAACCCTTTCCAACCCGGGCGCGCGTATGCATTTGTACGCACTCGTACGCATTTGTATGCACTCGTATGCATTCGTA